ACCCTGAAGGCATTTAATGAGGCAATCGGTGCCACGCAAATAGAGCCGGCAATAATGTTCACTTTTTTCTCCACCAAGGTCCTCCTGTCATCAGCAGCAACCTTATCACATCTTGTTAGGCAAAAAAAAACCGCGAAAACCACTTACAATTTGGCGTTTTCCTGCTGGCTGAGAAAACACCATGACATTTCCGTATTTGGGTGGCGTTTGTAGCTGTTCAATCCACAGCATTCCCACCGCGTGCCGCCGAAATCGCCACTGCACGCCATTCCGCGCCAGAGAAACAGGAGCGGAGCCATGACGACCAATTAAGCTGAGCATGCTCCCTGGTTTACTCTTAAAGCTTTCAAGTTCTTTTGTTGTCTCAGGGTGCCCCTTGTTGCTTCCCTCAGGAGAGCTTTTGCGCCTATTACAGCCGCACTTCTTGATTCACAAGGCAGACCGACTCAAGCGCTGTTACATCTCCTAGGCTTTCTTCCATAAATAGAAGATAGTCCGCTTCGATGTTGAGAGGCTACCGGCCTGGAGGCACACATCTGCATCACAGCACACTGTCCAATATGACGTGCCCTGTTGCCATGCCACACGTTGCATGCTCAGGCCCAGTTAAGCGACAGCAGGCACTCCTCGCACTGAACAGGAAGAGTATCTAGCGTCTATGAGGGGCTAGATGTTGAGTTGAGGTTTTGACTTTGGAGAGTACATGTGATGTCTAGAGTGGTTGTGTTTCCACCGCTCACTGCACGCAGCATTGCATCGGTCTGGCGTCCAGTCGGTAAGCCACCACACATGTGTGTGAGGCTGCCAGACAATTGGAAGTGTTTAGCCAATCAACTACTCCCCATTGTATCAGCCTTGAAAGTACATCTGTCTGTAAAATATCACTGTTTTTTGGCGTCACAAACCACCACGGCCAACATGCGCATGAATAATGTTGCAAGTTGCAATTGCATGGGTCCTGCTTCTGCCGCCTCCACAACTGCCCACATCTAGCAGTCCAATTCTGCTTTGATGGAAAAACACTTCTTTTCACTTTACCACATTTTCGGAGTTTCACTTCAGCGTTGTCCTTTGTGAGCTACCGCTTTGGAGACAGGGAATGAATGGCCTTCTAGCGCTCCCGCGATGGAGCCACACAAGCGCATGTGGTGAGCATGTGCGGTTTAACTGCTTGACTGCGGAGTTAATGACACGACAGTCAAAACTGCTGCAATAAAGATAATTTAATAACGGAAAAAGGTTAATTTTCCTTCTTTATTGCACCTTTATTGCCGTATCAAGGGAGTTGAATGCTGATTCCTGTATTGGAAGCAGAGCAATCACCCAGGAAACAGACTTTTAGAAGTGTATCTTGCCATTCTTTTTATCTTATTGTGTGTTACAGAGGTTGAAAGACTGAAGCGTCTCCGTGTCAGTACTTCACCCCGAGTAAGCGACGCATCTCTCCTATTGTTACACCTTATGGTCGGCATACAATGCGTAGACCAGTGCGGTCCGGACACCATCGTGGAAGCAATAAACTGACACGCAGCCACAATTGACAGCTTTTATAGAGGACTTTAAGCACAACGAGATCCGACGATGCGAAGCTCGGCAAATCAGTAGAAAGAGAGTCGTCAGGTCCAATTCCACCGTAATACTTCCAGCCCACAGTCTGGAACAGTTATTCCTACAGGCATTTGGCGTATGAAAAGCGGGAAAGAAGACTTTTTGTAATCACTTTTCTTCCGCTAGCCCAAAGGTCCCACTTCGAATTTAATGTCCACTGAAACAGCAAAGGCGATGCCAATGCGCAGCAGAATGCTTTCAAAATTCTAAAAATCCATCTCATTCGTAAAGAAGTGCCAACAGCTTCATTTATCAGCTTTATTCGATTCATTTTGTTTAAAAAGATGTAGTGTGTTTTAAAAAATTCATAGAATGATTTCTGTAGACATGTAAATCTGAATGGCGGAGGTGGACTTAAAGGCAATGCGTAGCATGGAAATTTTGAAGACATACTCGATTATTTCAAACTCGCTTACCCTCTTCTTCGCCGCCACAAATTTTGCATGGAGCAGATCCAAAAGAGCATTCGAAACAAGTGATTTTGAAGAGGGTATGAAATTGTACACCTTTATTCGCGTTTCCCTTCCTGACATCTCCCTAATAACGGAATAGTATGGACTGAATAGCGTTGAAAAGACATAAAAAGGTCACTGAAGAAGGTAAAATGAGCGAATCAATCGACTCTTAAACCAACAAATAAGAGTGTTAACCTCGATTCGCGTGGTAACACTAATGTTGACATTTTGGAGCGTTCTGTATCAGCGTCACGTATATGTGACGGCCTGATTTTACACGTTGAATGTGTTCTTCATCAACCACTAACTTCTGTCAGAAAGCTCACACTTTACAGCGTCTTTAAAAAGAACTCTAAGGCCACCTTTTAAGGAGTTGATTGATGAGACGCACTTATTTAGAGAAGCACGAAGCAGGGAATTCAGCCTATTGAATACCACGGAAACACAGAGTTCGTGAAGACGTCGGCAAAGGACTTCCACCACATCTCGATTGGGCTTAGGTCCTCCATGGTGCTTTGGAGGAACCGCGTGTTTTAGATACTGGAAGTGGTATATTCCTAGTGGATTTGCCTTCCTTCGCCGTCTTTTGAAGTAGTTCTTTGGACCGTGGGTAGGTAGATCCTGGCGCCATATTCGCCTATTTCGTTTACGATTGTTGGTGAAGTCTTCAAAGAATCCCGAATCGTTTTGTGAGTAGGTCGTGATGGAAGAACAAAGCTAGAAGAGGAAAACGGATGAAAATCGGCAAAGAGTTGCCAACTTACCAATCGTCTTCTTCGGAGATGGAGATAACGCCAGAAGTGTCTTGAAACAAGACCTCTTCCTGTTGGCTCCTTCCAAGTGCTTTTGGAAAATACTAAATTATTGAAGTCTTTTTCACCAACTCCAATTAGACGTGCGACTAAAAGGGTGGAGTTTTAGGCGAAAATTAACACTCTTCTCTTACCATCATTAGTCGTAACAGATGACAGTGGAAATGGTGTGAATGATTCCCTACGAAGGATCATCTTTTGAATGCTTGTATAGATGTCTTCTGGCAGGGTTTGAAGCCTTCCATAATTGCTGGAGCGCCCAGACCTTGAATGTTTCAGGGCTCGAATTGCGGCGATCGAAATGAGGAGTCTGTACAGACTAATAATTTCCTGACACGAAAGTGGTAGTAAAAATGAGTTCAAAAGTCAGAAATTTTATATTTAAAGCGGTCTAATTCAAACCTGAGGACTGAATCCAGCCGACATGATGAGCAGGTGGAACTGAACAATCTCCGAAAAGTCTAAAAGGCGGGAACATACTTTGAATGAACCAAAGCAACTGAAAGCATAAATATACATTTAAAGTGACTCTACCTTTGGAGGAGGATGATAGGGATTTCGATCTAAAGGGAAGGAAAAAGGGTTGCTAATTTCACCTATGATAAGGCCCTACTTAATTCCTTGTCAGTAGCACGGCCTAACCTCGGATTGACGTAGGAACTGAAGGCACGCAGGAGGGGATTTTCAAACAGCGAGGAGATGGAGGTGTAGGCATTAAGAAAGGTTCTGGCAGAGACTACGAAAAAAACCAAGTAAAAGAAGGTTATGCGCTCAGTAGCGCGGTTAGATGCTGACGTAGGGAAGTTGCTTTAAAGTACGGAAGATTCGGCGACGACCCCTAACAGAAGGGCTAAAAATCACGTCTACCTGAGGCAACTGCCTTAGTCCCGTGTTTTGCACGAAAGCCGGTTACAACTAAAGCGACACTAGCCATGCACCAACTAGAAAAGTCCATTACAGAGCTGACTACGGTACCTGTAAGAAGACGTCACCTGAGTGGAGGAGCTCCGAAGAGAGAACAAAGTGTCGAGGAGGAATAGACGCAAAACCCAGTGTTCCTTCGACTAGTTATGGACACGTTGTGGTAGCCAACGCGGGAGGTTAAACATGGGGAGGGATGGGTGCGACATTCAAGAGGAGAGCAGGCCTGTGTAATGCTTTGCTGGTGCGTCTAACTCCTCGTCTTAGCGTCGCGGACAATGAAGGCTCCACTTTTATATTTTCACTGGAAAGGCATGATCTCTGGGCTATGTTGATAGCTTCCTAGTCCTTCTATCTTGGTAATGTAACTTCTTTTGGATTTAAGTGAGGCTTTTTTTAATGGTCCAACCTTCGTAGAATTCTCAGATTCTCTAAATGTCACATTTGCAACTTTAAGCTGAGAAAAGATAAAGTGTACTTGAAAATTCCCTCACCATTAACCAGCCTGTAGTCCGTTGAAAAGACAAACTCGACACCACGCAAACTCAGCTCCTGTCGACCAATCAGCTTCTCAGCAATCAGAAGAATGTTGTGAATCAGCTCCTTTATTTTCAAAGGAAGGAGAAGAAAAATAAGATTTCGAAAGAGAACCCTTTTTTACAAATAAACTCCGTTATGGACTCACTTTCGTCGTGGTAAGGAGGAACGGTGCCTCTTCGCAAATAATCTGACACAATCGAAAAGTCGGTTCTTGAGGCTTTCCCACCACAAAAATGATCTTAAGATTAGAGAAAATCGGATTGTTAAGGGCAGGAAATATTTTGACGCATAGCTATGGGAATTTGAATTTGAGGCCTGAGAAATCTGTCAAAAACAAATTCACGAGACACAAATCGCTAACCTGATCATAGTGTTCATCATGAGCTTGATGCAAAAGTTGTCTCACGAAACTCTTTAGGTCATCCTTATGCGGTTGGAAAAGACCGCGATATTCCGAGGTGGGAGAAATGTAAACCAAGACACCGTTGACGTCTGTAACAAAGCCCTCCTGTTCTGGCATCTACAAGGAGTAAAGCGCAATGCTCTGACTGGAACATTCCATATTAGCTCATAGAATCGACAAATGAATAACTTTATCCATAAATGACTTAATCATGGGATGGACAGGGTGATGTTCCATTAAAGAGATAAATAGCTGGTTATGTAGATAAATGGTGAAAAATGAGCTTAATCTGACGTTATTGCATGTATCATATGAGAAGTGGAACCAAACACTCTGGAATGGACTCGGCGTATATGAGTGAATAAATAAGTGGACGGGTCAGAGTTTAAAAATGAAACATTTGCGAAAAATTATACAAGAAAGGAAGGATATAAAAAAAAATAAGTGTCCCGATGGTTCACTGCTGCTAGCATGACTTTGGAAACTCTAAGAATCCGAAGAAAGAGGTTAATAAAGCATTTGCGGAAGGCAAGATGGCACGATTTTTGGAGACCGCTCCCCCTCCAAGCTCTCAACCTACCCTATGCATAACTTCCTTATGAACATCTTCGAGGGTTTGTTTCGCCTCTCCATTTCGCTCTCTTTCGACTAACGCTATCACATCTTCCCGTTCGTACTCCCCGGAGGACTCCATGTCGATATCACTCCGCTGTTCCACAAACATGTCATCCTCTTCCTCCTCCTCCACTTTCCCCATTACTCTCGACGCTGAAATGACCGCTCCATCCGACTCCTCAATCGTGGAGTTCCCAGTATTTGAGTTGCCTGTGAAGTAGGCGCTTGAAGCGGTCGGAATGGAACTGCAGTACTTTGCACTCTGACTTCGATGAATCGGAGGAGGGGTTATTGGGCTGGAAGCGGTGGCAGTGCGAATTGTGCTTTGTAGAAGAGGCGAGTGACGGGAATTTGGAACGAGACTGATATTTTGTGGAGGATGTTGGGAATCGCCTTGTTCGAGCACACAAAACAGCTTTATGTTGACAAGTAGGTTTAATTTGAAATGAGCAGAAATTTCAATGTGTCCACTATTAGCATCACGTATATGCCACGTGTGTTCCCTAATTGGGTGCCAAAAATTGTGTGAATTGAATGAGCTTTAAACAGTAAAGTGGAGGCAGCTTATTCTTTATTTAAAATAATCACATTTACTCAAAAGATACCATCAATTAAATAGAGAATTTAGGGGTGTAAATGACAGAAATTACTCGTTTTATATTGCATAAGTAATCATGGAAGAACAAAAATTTTCTCATAAAAGAACTTGTTTTCAAGTAGCAAGGAAATCATCGGTTATTAATGGACCGTATAGTCGTGGCAAATTGAGACTTTCCTGAGACGTTTCGGGAAATTCCAACCAATCCTTGAGCAAGTAGTACTATAATGAAATAGGTCGTATTGCCTCTACGATAGCATTTCAACGCATTGCCTCCACCATCATCATCATCATGCGATAGGTTACATTTGGTAAAGAAAGTGGCCACATACGAAGCAGAAGAGTGAAATGGGGATTGAAAGCATGTCCTTAATCACTAAAAATAAATTATTGCGAAAGTTGAAAAGTATTAATTTTTAAAGATATTTTAAGCCTAATTCATTAAAGAATTAACCATGGGAAGGTACTTCAATTGCATCATTGGAGCTTCGCTAGGTTGTGCTGCGTAAACAAAAAATTACTCTTGAATAACTACTGCTTCCTGATTGGTGCTTTCGAAGAATCCTGGTCCAATCAGGAAGGAGGTTTAGAGCCAACACCAATGAAAATTCCAGAACCATACCCACACCTAATCATCACTTACCTCTTCTTCTAGACGAGCCGTCTGAACCTATTTTTGGTGATCTGATGGTCGGGGCATTGGTATTTGTATTAACTGTCGAAGGTGTAGGTGACGATGAAGAGATATTCAAGGAAATTGTCGAAGTGTAGCGCTGAGTTAAACCTTTCGGCGCAGCGGTGGCAGCACTTCCCGACGATGAATCTAACGACATATCAGTACTAACAGCTGCAGGACCAGTCTCCTCCAACCTCTCAGGTCCTCTCTCCCCAATGACCTCTATGCTATGTTTCGGGGGGACGTAGCTGCAGCGCGGGGGCTCGGAGAATCGTCGAACGCCGCTGTATACCCCGTTAACGGAACGCATAAGGGCGAGGAGGTGATTACGAGCCTTGAAAAGAAAAAAAAGTGTCGTTTCCTGTCAATGACATCATCGGGCCTCGGCTTGAGTGCCACTGTAGTAACCAAAAATAACCGCAATAACGTGTCTGACTGTCTGGTTTTGCGAGGTGGTGATTATATATTGAAAAATAGAGGAGAAGTAAATCTGAGTTGATTTGGATCCATTACTCCACGTAGAAGAAGCAAGTTGAATGGTTAGAAAAAACAGCGATACGTTATTAAGGCGCCGTAGCCTATTCCAACATTGGTCCTGTCAGATCAGACGTGATTTAGGGGATCTGTCACTAGTTTGGAACATTCTATGGGCATCAGCTGTGCCTCTAGTCTTCTGGTCCTTCCATGCACTGGCAATCAGACCGCCTCCAGACCAACATATCTTATTGAGCTCTACCAGCGTAGTTGAACAACAAACTCTGCTAGAACATCAACAACAGTCAAGATTTCGTTGGTCCCATAATATAACCAATCGTCAGGAGAAGAAGGTATAGGCCGTGGCTCGCTATTCGAAGAAACCGCAAGATCCACACCTACATTATGAACAAGCAGGCAGTGAGAGCGAGGATTTGAAAAAATCGAGATCGTCCATGACGCAATGTGGTGTTACCGTCGTAGTTCGGCCACCACGAGTGGTGATACGAGTCTGTCAGCCCTCCTTTGTGTCCCGACTCGGTGTGGCATCTTCGTCGAGTCTCCTGATTGGTTCACAAATCCGCTTGAGCACCAGCTCAACAATTACAGCCAATCATCTTTGAGCTGAAGGTCATACTAGTACTTGGGCGTCAAAGTTGTTTTTCATTGCGTTCCATGCCCACGCAATAGCGAACCATTTTCCCATGAAACCTCCAAAAAGTTTTGCTTTGCTCAAGGAAAGTACTTATCAAGGTGACCGCTGTATTTCTCACGCCAATGGAGGCTCTTCTTGGTTTAAATCGACAATTTGCAATGTGCTAGTGTGTTGGCCTCGTTGGGAAAGAGAAATAGGAGGAAATGGAGCATTCGAATTAAAGCATTCCACACCTCTGGATTGAAAGAAAAAGCTCACTACTCTATTTCAAAGGGCTGAACAAAAATAAATGCTTCTTTAAATGTCCATGTTGCCAAATGGGTCTATCGAAATCGCGTTTTAAGGTAGTCAGAACATGTTCTCGTTATGAAGGTCCAGATCCTGGTTCCAAGTACCCTTGATACGTTAATAGAAGTGTGGCAGCTTTTGTCCCCCGGTTCATTCACCTCTCAGCTGGTCCATCGCGGGAACGCTAGAAGGCCACTCACTGCCTGTCTCCAAAGAAGTGTCGCACGAAGCGCAGCACCGAAGCCCTAAAAAGGTGGTATAGTGAAGAGAATTTCCTTCCTGCCGAAGCAGATTATCTCCAGTGGATAAAGGATAGGAGGAAGTCTACGAGATGTAATAGCATTCAACAGTGATATTTGAAGGTTTGGCGTTGAGAAGTGCCCCTGTGACAAGAAATGGAAGAGCAGCTGTGAGGAGAAAGATTTCCGTAAAGAGGCGAGTTTCACAATTCCCTACTGATGCCACAGTCGTGATAGTCGAGTCGCCTCAACGTCGGCGATTTCACAACTGAGTTGGACATAAAGGGGTCAAAAAGTCATCACCGACCACCACCTTGGTGCAATGCGGTGGGTGGGGTGAAATTGGGTCGCATCTCCTCCCCTGCAACAGTAGGTGTGTTAACTTGTTTTGGTGGTTCAACAACATGCACAAAAGTTTTCGTGAAGTAAACATCATGAAATCTCCCAAGGCTACCTCAGGCATGACAGAAGTTCGGAAGCTCCGAGTGCAAAAAGGGGAGACGCGTAATTTATGCTTGGATGCTGTCTGTCTTCGCGGTA